ATTGCTTGCTTTCAGCCAAGATCCATCTAATGTCCACAATATTATCTTTTATTCCACATCCTTTCTGAATTTCTGGCAAGCCCTTTGTCAGTGTGCTGCTGGAACCATTTTTTAATTATCATCAGCAAAAATTATGTGTGATATTAATGTTATTGTTCAATAATTTCTGCATTCTGTTGTGTCACCTTTTTTAGGAATGGGTATAAATATGGATCTCTTCCAGTCAGTTGGCCAGATAGCTGTCTTCCAACATCCTTGGCATAGACTGGTGAGTGCTTCTAGTGCTGTATCAATGTGTTGAAGCATTTCAGATTTTATTTTGTCACTTCCTGGAGTCTTGTTTTTCAGTAATGCCTTCAGTGCCGCTTGGACTTTTCCCTTCAGTACCATTGCTTCTTGATCATATGATACCAACCAGTTCTTCTTGGTACAGTGACTCTGTATTCCTTTCATCTTCTTTTGATGCTTCCTTTATCAGTCAGTGGTGTCTTGATGTGGCGCTTTAGGTTAATGCGCTGGACAGCAAAGTCAGTTCAAACCACAAGGTTAGCGGTTCAAACTCACCAACCACTCCTCGGAAACCCTATACAAGGTCACTATGGGTCGAAATCAACTCAACGGCACTTAACAACAAGAACATTAATTAATATTTTGCCCATAAAATCCTTTAATATAGCAAGTTGAGGCTAGAATTTTTCCATCAGTTCTTTCAGCTTGAGAATGATGAACATGTTTCTTCCCTTTGGGTTTTCTAACCCCAGGTCTTTGCACATTTCATTATAATATTTGACTTTGTCTTCTTGCATTGTCCTTTGAAATTTATTGTTCAGCTTTTTTACTGTATCGTTTCTTCCATTTACTTTGGCTACTGTATATTCAGTAAGGAGCTCTGGTAGCGTAGCAGTTACGAATCGGGCTGCGAACCTTAAGGTCAGTGGTTCGAAACTACCAGTGGCTCCGCGGGAGAAAGATGAGGCTTTCTACTCCCATAAAGATTTACACCCTCGGAAACCCTGTACAGGGTCGCTATGGGTCGGAACCGACTCAATGGCACTTAACAACAACAACAACAGCTGTATATTCAAGAGCAAGTCTTAGAGTCTCTTCTGATATCTACTTTGATCTTTTCTCTTTTTCATGTGTTTTTTTTTTTTCTTTTTCTTGGATGATGTCCTTGATGTCATCACACAACTCTTCTGGTCTTTGGTTGTTAGTGTCTAATGTATCAAATCTGTTCTTGACATTGTCTCTAAATTCAGGTGGGATATGCTCACGGTCGTAATTTGGTTCTTATGGATTTGTTTTAGTTTTCTTCGGTTTCAGTCTGAACTTGCATGTGAACAATTGATAATCTCTTGGTTTTGTTTTGGCTAATGATATTGATCTTCTTCATCATCTCTTACCACAGATGTAGTCAATTTGATTCCTGTGTATTCCATCTGGTGAGGTCCAAGTGTATAGTTGCTGTTTATGTTATTGAAAAAAGGTATTTGCAATGAAGTAATTGTCTTGAGAAATTGTATCATGTGGTCTTAGTGTCATTTCTATCATCAAGGACATACTTTCCAACTACTGATCCTTCTTCTTTGTTCCCAACTTTCACATTCTAATCCCCACTAATTATCAATGCATCTTGAGCACATGTTTGATCAATATCAGACTGAGTAAATTGGTAGAGTTCTTCAGTTTTTTCATTGTTGGTTTTTGTGGTTGGGGTATAAATTGCATTAATGCATTAGATTATTTTCCTTCTAGTCTTATGGGTATTACCCTATCACAGGCAGCATTGTATTTCAAAATAGATCTTGCAATGTTCTTTTTGACAATGAATGTGACAGTATTTCTGTAAGTTGGCATTCCCAGTATAGTAAACCATACGATTGTCTGATTCAAAATAACCAATAGTAACAGGCCAGAAGGCAGGCCACATGGGTATCAAAGCAACTGGGTCAGCAAGTTTGGTGGCGATGGTGGTGACAGTGGATGGGAAGGATGTGAATGTTCTCTTCTGATTGCTTTTACTTTCTTAGTGAAAAAAAAAATAATGCTGTAATATGCAGGGAGTGAGGGTGGGAGGAAATATTGGAGATTTGAGAATGCTTACCAGTTGCTCCTCAGCAACCCTATTCAGGGTCACTATAGATAGGGCAGTATGGACAGAACTTAGCTGATTAGACATAGGGATAAGTGAGAGGAAGGAGACAAGTAATAGATTTTGGTTTAGCAACTGGGCGAATGGTGGTCTCTTTTCATTCAGATAGGAAAGCCTAGGGGACAGGTTAGGGAGGGGAGAAGGGTTTGTTTTTCACTTGGGGTATCCAAGTAGGCCTAAGTGTTTGACGCTCAGAAAGGAAATGTGAGCTAGAAAAATAGATCTAGGAACTGTCAACATAAAGATGGTGGCAAAGCATTGGGAGCTGATGAGAATGTCCAGGAAAAACACACAGGAGCAACAAAAGAGGGCAAAATGTGAGTGGACAGCAAGTAAGAGGAAATTGGAGTGCTAGGTTAGAGAAGGTAAAGGAAGAGAGTCGTTGAGTATCCAGTGTCACAGAAAGTCAAATGAGAAAAGAACCAAAAAGTCCCCAGTGGAATTAGCAATGAGGTAGCTAGCTGGTAAGGTCCTTGATTGATCCAGTGTGGAAATGTGAGGGCAGGGGACCAGACCTTGGAGTGAGTAAGAGGTAAGGGAATAGACCACTCTGAAAAAGTTTGACAAGGGGTGGTAGCTGGAAGGAAATAGGGTGGTTGAGATTTTTGGTATGTTTGATGCTTATGGAGAAGCATTCCAAATAGGTTTAAAACTGATAGGAAGGAGTCAGTAGAAGACTCAGAGATGAGCTAAGGGGTGGTAGGCCAAGAGGCTACAACGCAGATTCAAACGGGAAGAGGGACACCTCTTCCTGTGATGTGAGTAAACTTGGAGCAGCAGGAAATGGTGAGGCTTTCGTGACTACTTTTATTCTTTGAGAGGTCAAGGGACTACTGGTACTTTGAGATTAGAGAATGCTTCAGCTACATTCTGAGAGAGAGTGAGAAGGTTGACAAGGAAATCGGGGTGTCATCAGGTAGCCTCGGGGGGACTAATTAAAAATAGAGTCCTATGCTGAGAGTGGGAGACCTGGTGTGGTGCTGTGGGTTAATACGAGGGCTGCAAAGTTGGTTTGAATCACAAGATCGGTGGTTCAAGCTCACCAGTCACTTCTTGGAAACCCTATTCAAGGTTGCTAGGGGTTGGAACTGATTTGACAGCATTTAACAAGGTGCTGAGAATTCCAACCCACTACTGCAGAAAACCCTCTTTGTTGCTACTTTTGCCATAGCCCTGAGGCCATGTAGTCTTCTTACTTCCTCCTTCTGAACCTGCCAGAAATGCCCTCTGCCCTTCAAGACTACTTTTACCCACATATGATAGCTACTTTCCCTCTGTGCTTACCTACTGGGCTCAGGTCACCTGCTCTCGCCAGCCCCCCTCTTCCCACCCCTCAGGGATAAGGGTTTCTTATTTGACACCCACAGCCCCCCACATACTTGACCACAGCATGACACATACAGCATTTATAACCACTGACTTATCTGCCTCTCCCATAGGACTGAAACAACTTGAGGGCAGAATGTTTTCACCTTTGTAATGATCACAACTTAGTAGGGGTAGAGCAAACAGTCCTAACTTGGTTGCCACTAAAAAGGGTGGAGGGTGGAGGTCATCTTGGAACAAAGACCTGGCTATCTACTTCCCCAAAACCAGCCACTGAAAACCCCATGGAACACAGCTCCACTGACACACATGGGGTCACCAGGAGTTGGAAATGACTCCATGGAAACTACAACTGGAACTCCAACTCATAGCTGAAAAAAAGCTGACGTCCCAAAACAACGCAATTCTCCATGGTCATGTCCCCAGCCCTGTGTCATATGCAGATGTCTCTGATGATGAAAATAATCAAGCCACAAAATAGAGAGATACCCTTTTGGTCTGAATGTTTAACCCCCTTTCCTTTTGGGAAGAAGCCTCCGATGGAAAAGACGTATGCTTACCCTATGCATTGACCCTGGCCACCCCCACCAAACACACAGAGCCCAAAGTATTCTGAAGGGGCATTTTATTTTAAAAATCAACACATTTTATTTACATAAATCAGTTACTCTCCACTCCCAAAGTCAGTTGTCTGTGTTTGGGAGCAGAGCCTGTGGTACTTTTCTGGGCTTAAAGTATAAACTGACATGGTGTTCAAGAACTTGTCCAGTGGGCAGAGCCCTTCAGGGCATCCTTCCGGCACTTGCTCCTGTGGAAAAGACATGACTTAGCAGGTGGACTGAGGACCCATTCCTTCTGCTGTTGTCTGCTGAACCTAGAGGTCTGAGAGGTCTTCTCCCGACCTATATATATACACACATATATAACAGCCAGAAAGACCCCAGTACCCAGCCAGTTTCCAGGTTAAAAACACCAGGTCCTGCTTTGAAAATGCAGTCAAGAAGGGGTTGTTGAATTGGCAGGGAAGAAGCAGTCAAGCTAGATCCTCTCACCCACGGCTTGCTCGCTCGCTCACTCCTCTGAGCTTAGAAGAAGCAGCTCAGCATGTGTAGTTTAGCCCTTTCTCCTCTCTCTCTTTGGGACCTGCCTGCTTAGGGGAATCCTCTACTCTCAGCCACGCAATGTGTTTAGTAGGACAAGCTCTGTCCCTTCTTGGAAAGGCTTGTAGTTTGAGAGAACTAATCTGGGGGAGCTTCAGAGCTGCTGATTCCTGGAGAAGGCTCTGTAAGGTGCCCTGGACACATCCTAATGAAGCTGCCAAGACACCAAGAATGCTTACACCACTTCCCAAAGACATCATCATTAATTTCAAATAGGCCTCACAGTCAGAATGCTACCATCCTGTGAGAGGCACTCATGAGAAGAGGAGGAAGGTGGCCCCGTAACTAAAAGTCTGTAACAGAACTGGGCTAAGGCCCAGGTCCTGTCCTATCCCTGGATCACTTAATAGGACTCACAGAGATGATTATATCAACAGAGACTCCACTGGGCCTGAAGAGGGAGACTAAGGTGGGTAAAACTGTAGGGAGGGTGCCTAATCACCACCCAATCCTACCTTGAAGGTCTTACCTCACCATGGTAATAGAGCCGCACAAACCACTCCTTAGATTCCTGGTGCTGGTAGAGTTCCATGGTCAGGTCAGCAGCAAATGGGGGCCATTTGTGGTCAAAGATCCCCAAGGCAATTAGGAGAGGCATGAGGGTCAGATCATGAGCTGCATAGAGGTACAGCTTTCTACAAAGAAGAAAGAGGCCTCCAGAGTTCTTTATCTCAGGACAATGGAGGCCAGGACACTGCCTCCTCCTCTGAGTAAGGCATAACATTAGTCTCAGAAACCAGGTGACATCTAGAAATCAGTTGAACCCGGCTTAAAACTCCTTTGAAGTAGACAGTAGGGAGAACTCTCTTCCCCATGTCTCATGTTTTCCCGAGGAAGCCCACCCCCCAGTCATTCTCCAAGCCTCTCACCCACGGCTTGCTCGCTTGCTCCGCTGAGCTTAGAAGAAGCAACTCAGCATATGTAGTTTAGCCCTTTCTCCTCTCTCTCTTTGGGACCTGCCTGCTTAGAACAACCTGCTCTACTCTCAGCCACGCAATGTGTTTAGTAGGACAAGCTCTGTCCCTTCTTGGAAAGGCTTGCAGTTTGAGAGAACAAACTTTATTTTAGGAGTCCTGGTGTGTCATTGTGAGTTAAAGAGCCAGGCTGCAAAGTCATTTGAACTGCAAGGTCAGTGGTTCAAGCTCACCAGTTGCTCCTTGGAAACCCTACACAGGGTTGCTATGGGTCGGAACCGACTCGACGGCACTTAACAACAACAAGTGTGGTGCTGTAGGATAAGCATTGGACTGCAAGGTCATTTGAACCACAAGGTCGGTGGTTCAAACTCACCAGCTGATTCTCGGAAACACTATCCGAGTCATTTTAAGTCAGAAATGACTTGATGGCACTTAACAACAACAAGTTCATATAAAAGGAATCCTAATAAACCTGTTTAACTTTCATCACATTCTCCAAATAGCTGTAATCAGTAGTAAAGGTGCCACATGTTAATCAATATCTATCTGGCCCCTACAGCTATCTTTTGGGCAGGATCAGTGATTTTAGTTTATTGGCTCCCTTACCTTAGAAAACCAGGATTAGACCCGTACACAGATTCAAGGCTAAGGTAAGGTAGTAGGAGTTAGCAAGAAATGTACTGTTATCTCAGGTACTGTGAAGGACAGGGAAAGGCGTTCACAGGGTTTCCTTTTAGAAATCCAGGCCCAATGGCCCAGAATGTTTGTTTTAACTCACTGTCTGCTACCCCTCCCTCATGTACTATGCATCTCTATATATAAACCCCCTCATTCAAAAAGGCAGCCTCTCAGAGTTTCTCCAACATTCAGATGCATACAAGTCACCTGGGGATCTTCAGCCTCGGGCCTGAGACTCTCACAAGCTCCCAGATGATACTGAACAACTGTTCATTTGCAGATCACACGTTAAGTAGCAAGTGGGCCCCAACCTGAGGTCCACGGTTCTATGGAATGAATGTTTATGAACCACTTCCAACATTTTCTTGTGCCTAATAGATAACATACCCTTCTCCATACTTGATGAAGGTATTTAAACTAAATAACTTATTAAACAATTATCCTTGATTTGAGCTGTTATGAGGTCAAGTCAGTGTAATATCATAGTTAGCCATTCTGACATGTTTGAATAATACAAAATGGAAAGATAAATGGAATAAATTCAGGTTTGTTTTCGGCAAAATAAAACTGTCAAAACATAGGAGGAGAGATGTGGCAGGGAGAAAAGCAAAATGGTTGTTGAACCTCTGAAGATCCCTAGGGCACACCCGTCTATCTTCAGTCACTGACAAAGACTGGAGTTTCCTCCCAGTAGCTCCAGGCCACCTCATTCCCCCACCCCCACCAACACAAAGCAGATCTGTGTTAGGTACCTGATCTTGCTGGGTGGAGTGGCAGGGTCAATGGTTTTCAGCAGGTTGTTCTTCAGGATGTGGAGGAGAGGGCCTACTGCCAACTGAATACTTTCCCTGTGTCAAGTGAACAACATGGAGCACAAAGAAGACACTCAGCACATGGGGCAACAGGCTTGTTCCACCCCCAGGACTTCCTGAACCCAACCGGACAGAGATGAGAAGATGACATTGCATGAGGGAAAGCGACAGGAAAGAGATGGTACCAGCTCAAGTTTGAGGCTTCTCTGTGAATGAAGTCTTCCAACAACTAAAGTAATCAAGACGTGGGGAGGGTAGGAAGAGTGTGTGTGTGTGTGTGTGTGTGTGTGTGTGTGTGTGTGTGGCGGGGGGGGGATGTGACCAGGATAACTAGGTCTTTAGGAAAGACAGAGTGTAAAGACTTCCAGGAATTCCAGAAGACCCTTAGAAAAGTGGTGGGAAGGAAATATTGCAACTTCATAAGCTATGCTTTCTATGTGCCATCTAAGTCACAGGGGCTTCCTAATTTCAGTTCAAAGGTAGCGCCCCCTGGCTTGGCTCTGTGACTCCACCACTTTCATTCTCAGGCTGACCATCTCATGGTCACAAGGTGGCTACTGCAACTCACTCAAAGCATGTCCTCTTGTAGTAGGAAGCAAAGCAGGAACACTGGGGGCGGGCGGGGGAACAGCTCTAAGGCTTTGTTTCTGTGTCATTCATCTGTTATCAAAGAGGCAAAAAGCCCTTTCAGAATCCCCAGAACCACCCCTAACTCAATCATCAACTGAAGGAAGCCAGGTTGCCAAGATTGGCTTAGAACAATCTTTACTCATGCTGACTGGGAAACTTGCCACCTTTATAAATCAAGGAATGCTGGAGCAGTGCATGAGGCCTAAGCAACCAACACTAGAGGATGCATTCTCTTTCCAGAAAAATGTGTGCAGGCCAAGCAAAGCTGGACTGCTTTGTAAGGCTGTAACCACTTGTCCTTGAAAAAAACAGCTTTTTGAGACCAAGGCTGAGTGGAATTGAAAAGATAGTGGACCAGGTCGTGTTTAAAATGCTTTATACCAGGAGAAAGCAAACTATGACTGGGGATCAAATCTGGCCTGCCAGTCTGTTTTTGTAAATAAAGTTTTATTGGAACACAGCCATTGCTTATTTGTTTACATATTGTTTATGACTGTCTTCATGCTACCAGGGCAGATATGAGTAGTTGTGAGAGAGACTGACTTCATGGACTGCAAAACCTAAAATATTCACTAAGTGTGTGTATGTATGCTGGATGGGAGGTGGTAGGTGATGATTTAGGTCTGGAGGGAAGCTGGTAAGTCGCAGGCAGTGGCTCCCAGCCAAGTGGCTTAGGGGAGCGTCTGGGATACCTAAGGCTAGTGCACACCTCCTCTGAGTGGGAGGAAATCAAGCAGCGGTTCTTAATCTTCTTTAGCAGACCATGCAAATTCTTGAAATGGTAGATACTTTTTCCTCCCACTCACCTTTCCCAGGGCTTCTCTTCTACCTCCCATCTCCCTACCCCCTGTCAAGGTACCTATTCTGAGTGTAAGCTGGATGCTCTCAATTGATCTTAGAAGAAAGTGTCTTTTAAACTCAGAGAAGAGATGCATACTCATGCTGGTGGTCAGGAAAAAGGCTTTTGGAAAACATAGCCCTACTGTTGTTAAGTCCCACTGAGACAGTTCCAAGTCACAGTGACCCTGTACAGGGTTTCCGAGGAGTGGCTGGTGAGTTTGAACCAACCTTGTGGTTAGCATATCCTACAATGCCACCTAAGTAGTGGTAAAGGATCCCTAGTGGCTCACTGTGTTAAGCAAATGTTGGGCTACTAACCACAAGGCCTGAGGTTCAAACCCACCAGCTAGTCTTCTGGGGAAAGATGAGGCAGCTGGCTCCGATAAAGATTTACAGTCTCTGAAACCCTCAATGAGTGAATCCACTCAATGGCAGTGGGTAAGTAGCAGTAATATACAGAAAACACAGGAAGTGTAGTCAGAGGATCTGGATCTAAGTCCTGACTTGGCCACTTGTTAGTGGAGCCTATGCAAGGTAGCTACCATCTCTTAGACTCAGCTTCTTCATCTATAAAGTCAAAGATAATGACACCTACCACAAGGCCAGTGGCTCAAGCCCACCCACTGCCCCATGGGAGAAAGATGAGGATTTCTGTTCCCGCAAAGAGATACAGCTTTGGAAACCCTATACAGGGTCACAATGAGTGGGAATCGACTCAATGGCACTTAACACCAACCACAGCAAGAATGAGAAAATGATTTGTAAATTGTCACATGATGAACAAAGTCAGCCATAATTATTTCTCCTCCAGCTTCTCCCAGCCAGATCATTGAAATTGCATTTGGGTGGTGGTTCCTTGTTCTGTGTCCCATTCAGTGGAAGCAGTAGGCCACTCGTGCCCGGCCCAGAAATACCAGGCCCTAGGACCAAGCCCATTCCACAGGCAGCAGAATGAGGTGGTTCCAGCCTCTTTGTACCCAGAGATGCCAGTTGACAGGTGTGAGAGAGACTGAGGAGCCCCTCCTCCCCCCACACTGGGAGGCCTGGTCAAGCGTGACTTTCTGCCAGCAGATATAGCAGCCCCTCACCTGTCTTCTCTTTGCAGAATGTACAAGGTTGCGTCGACGGCTCTCTGCTCTATCATCCGTGCAAATCTGCTCAGGGTGGGGCAGCTTGGGAGATTGTGCACCTGAAAGGGTCACAGGTCCATTTTGAGAGAGAGAAACACTGAGCCTGGCAGCTGATGCTTCCATGGAGACTCCGGGAGTCTGTCTTCTCAGGAGGACTTTAATAGCTGGAGAAACCATGTCCCCCAGGCCTTTCCCTAGCTAGTCCTAGAGATATGAAGGACCAGGAAAAAAACATGTCTTCCCCCTTTCTGATAGTTTTCCATCCACTCCCCCCAAAATTTAAATAACATTAAATTACACTTTTTTTAAAAAGACAAAATACAAGACAAGTTATGCATAAATTTCTAACTTGGCTATCATTTCTCCCAAAATGATTTCTAACAAGGATGCCATATAAACACTTTCTATAAAACTCTTGGGTTCTGATGTAACCCCTTCAGGAGGAGGCTCTTTGTCTACACAGAGCAATGGCACATTTCACAGAGAGGGAAGGAGGATCCAGGAGAACTTTGCTGTGGGTGTCTGACTTTTGAATCTAGAAAAACAGATTCCCACTGTGCATTCTTCAGCATTGATATGAAAGAAAAAGATTCCATGGCTTATTCAGTTTGGGGAAAAAAGACTTAAGCGAGAGTAACCAGTCTTTTGTTTTTGTTTTTGCTACAGGCTTCTCAGATTTTTCAGAAATGCAAATATGCATATAGACTCTCCCAAAAAGTGATACAATTAGCAGGGATTCAAAAATTGTTAGATAATAATCCTTCTCTGCCCACTAATCATATACTACTCATTCACATCAAGGGAACAGAGGTTCTGGGAAACATGACTCAGGAAACACTGCACGAGAGTTCAACATCGTACTCCTGAGTTGGGGAGTTCTGCTTGGCTGCTTTTGATCCCTTGCATTTTGACCCCACATCCATTTCTTCTGCAAGTCCGATCACAACTACTTCCCAAACACTTAGCTCCACCACAGGTCTAACTCAGGAGCTGCTCCATCCAGGTGCCCAGCCCTGGATGCTCCAGCCCCTCCAACCTCCCCCCATCCAGGGTACACAGGTATCCTACCTGCTCAGCAGCCACGTTGTCCAGAAGGCTGAGGAAGTCTACTCTGTTACTATCGTCAATGCCCATCTCTTCCTTCACCTTTTTCAAGTCCTCTGAGATTCCTGGTTGCAAAGAGGCAGCCTCTCTTCGGCCTCTATCAAAGAAAAACAAGAGATCCTTATATGGTCTAGTACTTAAAAGTTCACAAAACGTACTTCACTCAACAGCTGGAATCTCATTTAATCCTCACAACAGCCCACTGGTGTTAGCTGGTATTACTTCCACTTTGCAGATGAGGAAACTGAGACTCCATAAGGTTAAATGACATGTAAAAGTTAAGACTAGGATCAGAAGCTGAATTTTTCAAATCCCACCCTAGTATGTTTATTCTTATACCAAAAAGTAGTCCATGTCTATCTGAAAAGAGTATTCTCTTTCTTCTGTAGAACACATTCTATATAGTCTTAGTGCAGCCAAGAAAGATCCCAAACTAAAAGTGCCATCCATCCAAACTGGCCCATCCTATAGGGCAGTAGTGACTTGGTAAGAGAAGGGAAACCAGTATCTTCAGCTTGCACATCTGGGTTTGCAGTTTGATGATAAACAACCATCTTTCACTTAACCTGCCTGTTTCCTCATCTGCCATGCCTGACAGAAGAGGGTTGTTGAGAGGACAAAGATTTGTACACAGCAAAGTCCCACCCACGGTTGTAGAATTCATCTGTCAACCCAGCATTGGCTTTTCCTAGGCTTCACTATGAACTTTCACTCTGAGCCTGCCACTGTAAGAGCTTCTTTTCTTCCAGGAACATAGCCACAACAGCCCAATGGTCATCAGACAAGGAAGAGAATTCAATTCCTCCCATCCTTTATCCACCAGCTGGGTAAGCCTGGATGGGCCCTCAGTACAGGCAGAATCCTGCCAGCAAAGTTGGTCAAAGGCCCTGCTGGTGAAGGAGAACTCAGAGGCTGTTACCTGGTTCTTTGCTTCAGACTCCAGCAGCTTTGGAAGTTGGGGTACAAGACTTCAGAGCTGGCTTCATCCGTGTAGATGATGATGGGTCCTGCAGGGAGGGAAGCATAGGAGGAAGAGGCTTCTGCTTGGCTCTTCCTAGCATCCTTCTAATTCTAATTACTGCCTAGTAAGCTGCTCCAGGAGGCAGATGATCAAGGCTACTCCCTAAGAAGAGTGAACATCTTCCACATGCCTTGGACCCCCTGCAACAGGAACTCTCCCATGGCCTGAACAATGGTGAAAAAGGAAGTAGCAGTCTTGTTCTATCAAGTACACCACCTCCTATTGGTCCATATGTAGAAGTGATTAGGTACAGACCTGGATCTGACTGGCAGTCAGACAATCTAATAGAGAATGAATTGTTCCTGACTTTCTAGAACTAGCTTCCTTTCTTCTTTCCAGAGTCCAGCCCTATCGATCAGTATGGTGACTTGTCATGTGACAAAGTGAGCACTATGATCATAGGGTTGGGAAGTGTCCCAATCCTCTCCGACTCCATGGCCTTGCATAAATGGAAAGCAAGGCTTCTAAATGAGCTGCCAGAAATAAAAAATGAGACTACAATGCTTAACATACCTCGCAGCAAACCCCTGCTGCTAAGGGCTCATAAGTACTTTTGGATCCACCTATCAATGCCCAGAGAAGGCATTCCAACACTTCCTCATGCTTTTCTCTGTGCCAGAGATGGCCAGGGCCTGTGTCAAGTTCCTTGTAAGCCTCCACCTTCCATATAGTTCAAATCTGACCTTGTCTGTTGGCAAAAAAAAAAAAAAAAAAAATGCTTCCATTAGCAGCTTGCTGGACTTCACTGGAGTCAATCCACAGAGTGCTTAGAATAAGAACTACTAATCTGAAAAGAAATCACTGATAGTCACAACCCCAGGTCTTTGAAAGTAGTCGATGGTAACTTTACTTCTTATTGTTGTAGGCGCCAGCAAGTGAATTCAGATTCACAGTGACCCTACGTACAACAGAACGAAACACTGTCTGATCTTGTGCCATCCTCACAATTATTGTAGGTTTGAGCCCACTGTTGCAGACATTGTGTAAATCAATCTTGTTGAAGATTTCCTCTTTTTCACTGACCCTCTACTTTACCAAGCATGATGTACTTCTCCAGGGTCTGGTCTGTGTCCTGATAATGTGTCCAACGTATATGAGACAAAGTCTCACCATCATTACTTCCAAGGAACATTCTGGATAGATTTCTTCCAAGGCAGGTTTGTTCATTGTTCTGGCAGTCTATAGTATATTCAATATTCTTCACCACAATTCAAAGGCATCAGTTCTTCTTTGGTCTTCTTTATTCACTGTCTGTTTTTACATTTTGGTTTAATGAAGTATTTACTATGTCTCTTGTACCCCTAGTTTTGTAACTCCTCCAAAACAGCTCTTTTTCCTGATGGGTTTTGGTAAGAAAAGGTGGGAAAAGACACTGACAGGATGATACAATTCAGTTGTGAATGATTGCTAACAGTTAATTGTGGTAGCAAAAACTTGAAACTATAACATGGTTATAAAATGAGCCAGCTCAGAAACGGGCGGGCAGGGAGAATCTGACTATCAAAGAAGAGTCAGGAGTGGAATGGAATGTCTCCTTTGGACTCCCAAGATTCCTGCATATTGAACCTTCTTGACTCATGGACAAAAAGGAAGAGGAGTGACAGACTAGAATGGTGGGCTTCCTGGCCCACAGAGAAGTAAACCTAAGTGACTTTGGGCAGGAGGATAGCTTGTAGAGTGAGGTATCTCCAGGTACTTAATTGGGAGAGCTAGGCTTGCTGATCCATGTAACAAGAGCCAGGGGACTTCAGGTTGAGACTTATAGTGGAGTAGTGTGCCCTGTGGACATTTACTGGCAGCCCTTAAAGAGCTTTGTAACATTGCTGGAATAGGTCAGAGGCCAGGCCAAGAGTCTGCAGGCTACAGAAGGGTAACCTGTAAACTTCCCTAATGAACTCCGTAAGTGTGAATATGGTGCCTGAGTTCTGTCTGGTCATTGCAATGAATTATCAAACCTAGCTGAGTAGAGAGGGCTGTGGTAGGATTGTTTGGTGGTTAGTTTTTATACTTTCATATCAGAAGGAGGATTCATTGCAATGGCTCTAGACTCATAGAAGCATGGGGTTCTGTAAGATAAAGAACAAACGAGTAGGGGAAGGAGAACTTTTATTAGTAGGTTACTTTGGTGGTTAACTGTAATAGTTGAACGTGATATGAGATGTGCTGCAGCTGAGAGGAGAAAAGCTGCTGCTGGAGTCACGTGGGGCAAAAGTCACATCAGAGAAACAAGATGGCTGATGGGGGAGTTGGGGCCTACTGGATCTACCTTACCAGAGGCTCAAGGCCATATGCATTTAAATAGAGAGGCAGCCCATAGGTGGAGAAGAGAAGATTAAACTTGGGTGTTTAAGAAAGGGCTAAGGGACATGTATGTTTACCTGGCTGCAATATAGATAGTGAATGTTTTCTCTTACCTAGTAAAATACCTGTAGTAAAATAGACCTCTTTGTGTGCTGGAAATCAATATGGTTATGATTTTAGAGAGTTTGTAAGCCGTCCTTCAATCTGTACTTGATTGGATATGCTAAAAGATGAGTTAGGCCAAAGGAACAACCCTATACAGGTTTGCTATGAGTTGGAACTGACTCGATGGCACTTAACAACAGTCTGTGTATAGAGTATAGGGCTTTAGGTGGAAACCTGAGCCCCACCCAGAACTGCTGAAAGAACAGAAGATTATGTTTAAAGGAAACACCTGCAAAGAAAAGACAGCTAAAAAAAAAAATTCGAGCAAGCAGTTTGCCATTGGATACATCGAGGCAGGAAATGTATGCTGTTCACAGAAAACTCCATCTAAAGGACTGAAAAAAGGAGCTGTGGAGCAGACGGCCTGTTAGGATTGCTGGCAACCACTTGGTAAGTGGAAGTGGGGAGATATGCAGTAATGAAGAGATGAGTTAAGAGTGAACAGGAAGGACTGGCTGGTGTGAAGCTTAGGGAGTTGTGTGGACTCCTGAGCCCACGGTCACTGATCTCTAGTGCATGGGGGCTGAAGTGGAGGCAGGTGTGTATGGACTCCCACGCTTGCAGCTGGTACTCATTTGACCTAGCTAGAATGACTAGAGCTGAATGGATCAGAATCAGCCTGATTGAAGAAAAAGATGTTTGATACTGTGAGCTGGTGTAAATCGCTGCCATCTTAACGACTTGCTCCAGACTGAGCTTTACTTATGAGTGCAGATGCCCAAAGTTCCAATAGGAACAGAAGATTTTTCACATCGTCAAAGAAGAACCAGGAGTGGGGCATGTTCCCTGCACATTGAACCTCCTCAATCCAGGGACAGAAGGCTGTAACACTGGAGGAGTGAATGGCAGAGGATCAGGAGCAGCGGAACCAAGAGCCAGAGCAGGAGACAGAGTGAGTGGTGGGCTTTCAGTCCATGGAGCAAGTAAAACTTTAGACAGGAGGTTAGCTTGCAGAGTTGGTGTCTCCAGGCACTTAACTGGGGGAGCTAGGTTTGCTGACCATGGCACTAGAGGCAAGTGACTTCAGGTTGAGGTTTATGGTAGTGTGCCCTGTGGGCATTTATTGGCAGCCCTAAAAGAGCTTTGTAACATTGCTGGAATAGAACAGAGGCCATCCTGACCGGAAGAACTGTGCTTGGAATATAACTGACCCTGAATTATAACCTGTTAACTTCCTGATAGAACCTAACTGGGAACATGATATGAGTTCTGTGAGGCCACTGTAATGAACTACTGAACCTAGCTGAGTAGCGAGGACTGTGGACGCAGTGGTTGGTATAGTTTTTTACACACATGCATATGAAGCCATTGAAAATGCCATGGCATGCGTCAAGCTCATCATAGTCTTTGCTCTTCAACACTTTAAAGAGGTCTTTGCAGCAGATTTGCCCAGTACAATAATCTTATTCTATTTTTTGACTACTGCTTCCATGAGCATTAATTGTCAAACACTCATTGAAGTAAAATGAAATCCTTAAAAACTTCAATCTTTTCTCCATTTATCACGATGTTGCTTATTGGTCCAGTTGTGAGGTTTTTTGTTCCCTTTATGTTGAGATGTAACCAATACTAAAGGCTCTATTCTTTGATCTTACTAAATGCTTCAAGTCTTCTTTGCTTTCAGCAAGCAAGGCTGTGTCATCTGCATATTTCAGATTGTTAATGAGTCCCCCTCAGATCCTCCCATTGTGTTCTTTAGGTAGTCTAGCTTCTGGATTCTTTGCTCAGCCCACAGAGTCAGTGTTGTGAAAAGATGCAACCCTGATGCACACCTATCAATTTCAACCAGACAGTATCCCCTTGGTGTAAATGACTGTCTCTTGGTCTAGGTACAGGCTCTACATGAGCACAATGTTATCCATAATTTGTTATGATTCACACAGTCCAATGCCTTTGCATAGTCAATAAAACACAAGTAAACATGTCTCTGGTAATTGGCATCTGCTAGGAGTTTGATAACAGATCCACATTTTCTGATAAACATGGTACATAGCAGGCACTCAAATATCTGTTGAATGAATGACTGACCAAAGTGGGCCAGACCAGCAGTTCCCAGCTTCTCCTGCAATTCTGTTCTCTGTAACTTACATATAACCCTCTGCAATTTCTCCTGGATTTTCACTCCTGAAGCAACATCCCAAATTGAATCACTTCCATTGACCTTTTGGGGTTTCTTGGTCTATCCAAGCCCCTTGATAATGGGAAAAGCATAGAAGTAATTATGACACAGGTCAAGCTGGGGTCTCAGTGCAGGGAGCTGCTACCCAGAGATCTGCCTGTGAATCAGGCTGCTGCCAAGCAGCATCCTTCCAGTTACACTTTTGGTGTTTCTGAGGATTTGCCTCTTAAGAGTCTGAGCAAGTGAAGTACTTTCATGTTTGGGGCTCCCAAGGAATAAGGGACAGCCCATCTAGTTTGCCTTATGTTATCCAGATAGATGCTGCTTGTGTTCAGCAGCCAACTACAGACAGAATTAGCAGCAGCACCCTATCCACAATAGGAGTAAGGTCTGCCTCCTGATGGAAGTCTTATATCTGTTTGAGATCATTGCTGGTAAAGCTAAACAAAGTAACAAGAATCTTTGCCTCATGGCCTCATTTTAATATTGGTGAGGTGATACTGATCTGAAACTGAGACCAGGGGTTAAGTGTAAATTTGATTCAGTTACAAATCACAAAATGAAGCTTCATTTGACAGTCAAAAGCCTTCGATATATAGGATCCATGAGGGAAAATAACTGTGGTTCTTGGCAGTGAAAGATTGGGAACCACTGGCTGAATATATGAAACCCAAACTTGATAAGACTTTCTCAACTAGGAGAGACTAAGCAGAAACTACTCATACTGTCTTAACCATGCTATGGATTAGCACCATGAAGAAAGCAGTAGCAGCAGGTGTGGTTCCCAACTAAGGTCCCTCTTGGCCTTCATCTTTCTCAGTAGTGTTCATTGAGCAAAAAGCCCCCTATGTTGTTCATAAGACCTGTTGAAGGCCTCCTTAGGCAGCTCATGGAGAAACTTGGAAGGACAGGTCAGGAACCAGAGGTACAGGAGAGCAGCTGATACCCTACTGGCAATGTGCAAGTCAGACTGGCAAGGGCCCACTAGACTAGGTACATGATGGGAGTAGCCACATGTGCAGGGAAGAGGCCAGGGGAACAGGTACTGAAAGAGGAAGGGCCTTTGGAAGTAAGAATGAGTTCCTTGGGGGCAAGAGCCAGTTTTTGGACCCGAAACGCAAACCTTTGTGACGTTGGAAAAGCCCAGCCAGCAAACACCGGGTAGATTCCAGATTCCGATATATGTTTGTGGAACGAACACTGGGGGGCGAAAAAAAAGGGAGAGATGTTCAGAACAGGTGGGAGGCTTTCAGGATGACATAAAAGGAAGTATAGGTCTGGGAGGAGTTCTGGTGTGGAGCTACAGGGTAATGCACTGCACTGCTAGGTTGGTTTGAACTGCAAGGTCCACAGTTCAAGCTCACCAGCTGCTCCTTGGAAACCCTATGCAATAGGTTTGGGAAGAATGCTTTTCTCTTTGTGGGCTGAATGCCCCAAGGGAATTTCTAAAGGCCAATGAGTGTGAGCCCCACCCCAGTGAATACCTATTAATGTAAAGATAATTGCATTGTGACATCCCCAAGTTCCCTAAATTAGTTCAGGTAAAAGTGGGAAATATCACAGGAGGGGACTAGGGTAGTTTCTCTCATGCTTAAGACCTTAAATTAGATGCAGCATCCTTTTCTTAAGTAACTCACAAGACTTCCTGTGGGTTGAAGGTTGGTGAAAGAAAATGGGTATCCTCCACATAATGCTTTCTCAGTCTCTCTCCCAGGGCAAACATCTGCTGCATGCCCACTTTGGTCAGCTGCCCAGCAAACATGCCCCCCTAAAATGGAGGAGAAATAGAGGTAAGAATAAAACGCCTGCCAAGCTGATGAACCCAGTCCAGGGGAAAACACTGAAGCTTTGCCCCAGACTTCCCAGAGCAGGAGGCATGACTCACCTTTAGTGGGGTCGCCTGGTACTGAGCATCAAAAGGTGAATGTGGTTTGGGACCACCGCTCAGATTGCTGACTGCATAATCAATTTGAACTTGAGGAGGGGCTTCTAATAGCTGAGGGTTCCACTCTACCTGTTGTAACCACACACAAATAAATACACACAGACACAACACACACACACAAAATAACCCATTGTTAAAAATGATTCTGGAATCATTCTGTGTGAAGTATGGAATCACATCACAGAAAGTAATTTGATCTTTGTCCTCGGTTCTTTCAAGCTGGACCACACCTAAGGCTAATGAGTGGGAGGCTTACCAGACCAAGAGGGACTACTTTGGCTTCAGGGGACATGACGTAATCTATGAACACCTGGTGAGGCCAATAAAGACTTTGAACATGGAAGCTCAGAGATCTTCTTGGTTGATGAAACCATCTGCTCTAGGGAAGGTTAGCATGTCCCTTGGGACATGGAGGCTTTGCACTGGGAACCCTTCCAAACCTCACCCTCTGTATCTCTTTATTTGTATCCTTTTTGACTAATTTATAGTCTTACGTATGGTTTACTCTCCATGAGATTCGGTGAGTAATTTCGAGTGAATTATTGAACCCAAAAGGGAGTGGAAGCCAGCAGGACAGAAGGTTCGGGTATAATGTGGACTCCTGAGCTTGTGCTAGCATCCTGAAGGGGTAGTGGGACATCGTGAATCTGTGGCCACCCCGACAGAAGGTTGAGGTGTCATGTGGACACCTCAATCTTACAGCTCATATCTGCCTATTTGCCAATCTGAAGAACGATGTCCTTTTGTAATATGAGCTCTGATCCAGCTCCAGGTGCCTAGGGTAGGAGAGAGGTGACTGTGTCGGGGGTTGGTGAGAAGGATGGAGAAGTGGGAAGGTGAGCATTCGATCAGTCGTCACATTACGGGGACTGAATTCATGCTGGTCCATACCACTCAGTTGTGTTTTGCCCATTATGTAGTAAACCCCATCACTAGACCTGCAATCTTCCCATAGGAAAGAAGGAAATAAACTTTAGCTCTAATTAAAGAAGAAAGGACCATGATTTATTATTCAAGCTGTCCTTAGCCTAAGTCCTGGTATCACTACACTAGTACTCACTGTCCACCACTTGTCTGTCAGTCTGTCATAATGTGGTGGCTTGTGTGTTGCTGTGAAGCTGGAAGCTGGAAGCTATGCACTGGCACTTTAAATACAGTCAGGGTTGCTCACTGTGGACAGGTTTCAGAGATTCCAGACTAAAGCAGAATAGGAAGGAGAGTGAGCCACTTCTGAATGGATTGTCAGTAAAAACCTTACAAAGAGCAGAGGGATATTGTCAGATACAGTGCCAGAAGACGAGCCCCTTAGAGTCTAAGGAAGGCACTCAAAATACAACTAGGGAAGTGCTGATTCCTCAAAATAGAGTCGACCAGAATGATGTGAGTGGAGCAAAGCTTTCGGGAGCAAAGCTTTTTGGGACCTCCATTTGCTGATGGGAAACAACTTAAAATGAGAAGAAACAGCTGCAAACATCCATAATAATTGGAATGTGAAATGTATGAAGTATGAATCTTGGGTAATTGGAAGTCGACAAAAATGAACACATAAAAATTGTTATCCTCGACATCACTGTTGCTGTTAAGTACCATTGAGTCAGTTCCAAGTCATAGTAACCCTGTATAGCAGCTGGACATTAGTAAGCTGAAATGGACTGGGATAGGTCATTTTGAATTGCATAATCACACAGTTCACTATGCCAGGAATGACAAAGGTAAGAGGAATGGCGCTATACTAATCATCAAAAAGAACACTTCAAGATCTATCTTGAAGTACAATACTTTCTGTGATAGGGCAGTTATCCATAAGAGCAAGCGTTGAGGATTAAGGTGCAAAGCCATGGCATTTTCAATGACCTCACAAGCATGTGAAAGATGGACAGTGAATAAGGAAGACCTTAGAAGAATTGATTATTCTGAGTTATGTTGGAGAATACTGAAAGTACGTGGACTGCCAGAAGAACAAACCAATCTGGCTTGGGAGGAGTACAGCCAGAATGTTCCTTAGAAACCAGGATGGTCAGACTTCATCTCTCATACTTAAGACATATTATCAGGAGGGACCATTCCTGAAGAACATTATGATTAGGAAAGTGGAGGGCCAGCAAAACAGAGGAAGATGGCCAATGATATGAATTATCACAGTGGCAACAGCAATGGGATCGAATGTAACATCACTTGTGAGAATGGCTAAGGACCAGGCAGAGCTGTGTTCTGTTGTGCATAGGGTCACTGTGAGTTGGAATTGACTCAATGGCACCATGCAACAGCAGCAAAAAGAAGGAAGACTAGTTAATACCACTGTTATTCCAATTTACCCAACAACAACAGTGATGATAAAACTGAAGAATTCTACCAACTTTGTTAGTCTCAAATTTATCAAACATGCAACCACGATTTATTGATAATTTCTGACGACAGGAAGAATCAATAGATTAAAAATATGGTCTTGGTGATAAAAGTGATGTTGGAGGTCGCATGACAGAATTTTGTAAGACCAATGACTTTGCAAGTATCTTTTCTACGTAAATGGTGAGTATACACCTAGACCTCACCAGGTAGACTACACAGGAATCAAACTGATTATATCTGTGGGAAGAGATGGAAAAACATTATCAGCCAAAACAAGTCCAGGGACTGAATGCAGAACAGACCATCAGTTGCCCATATGCAAGTTCAGGGTGAAGCTGAAGAAAATGAAACTAAGTCTACAAGAGCCAAAATATGACTTTGAATATATCCCACCTGAAATTAGAGACCATCTCATGAACAAATTTGATACATTAGACACTAATGACTGAAAGCCAGAAGAGTTGTGGGATGACACCAAGAACATCATGCATGAAGAAAGCAAAAGGTCATTAAAAAGACAACAAAGGAAGAAAAAGACCCAAATGGATGTCAAAAAGACTCTGAAACTTGCTCTTGAGTCTACAGAAGCTAAAGTGACTGAAGGAAAGGAGGAAATAGAAATAGCCACACAGAAGATTTCAAAGGGCAGTTCGAGAAATCAATTATCATATTGAGATGTGGTAAGACCTGGAGACAGAAAGCCACAAGGTCAGAGCACATGCAGAATTTCTCACACTGAAACAACTGTGGAAAAATTCAAGCCTTGACTTGCAATGTTGAAGGAGTGTGGCACTGTAAGATAAGCACTGGATTGCTAACCCCAAGGTTGGAAGTTCAAACCCACCAGCTGCTCCTTGGAAACCCTATACATGGTCACTGTAAATCGGAACCAACTCCAAAGTACTTAACAACAACATGAGCAAAATATTGAATGGTGCAGGAATCATCAAAAGAATATGGAAGGAATACACAAAGTCACAGTACCAAAAAGAAGCGATCAATGTTCAGCCATTTCAAGAGAAATTATATGATTAAGAACCAATGATATTGAAGGGGAAAAAATCCAAGCTGCACTGAAGACACTGGAAACAAAAGGCTCCAAGAATTGATGGAATACAAATTGAAATGCTTCAACAATACGATGCAATACTGGAGGTGCTCATTGGTCGATGGCAAGAAATCTGGAAGACAGTTACCTGGCCAACCAATTGGAAGACATCCATATTTGTGTCCATTCCAAAGAAAGGTGACCCAGGATAATGTGAAAACCATCAAGCAATATCATTCATATCACATGCAAGGAAAATTTTGCTAAAGATAATTTTAAAGTGGGTACAGCAGTATATCTACAAGGAGCTGCTAAATATTAAAGTCAGATTCTGAAAAGGATATGGAATAAGGGGCATCATTGCTGACATCAGATGGATCTTGGCTAAAAGGAGATAATATCTGAAAGATGTTTACTTGTGTTTTATTGGCTATGCAAAGGCATCTGACTGTGTGGATCATAACACACTATGGATAACATTGCGAAGAACAGGTATTCCAGAACATTTCCTTGTGCTCATGAGGAACCTGTACATAGAACAAGAGGCAGTCATTAGAACTGAACAAGGGCATACTGAATGATTTAAAAGCAGGAAAGATGTGTGCCAAGGTTGTATCCTTTGGTAATACTTATTTAATCTGTATGCTGAGCAAATAATCTGAGAATATGGATTATAAGAAGAAGAAAGTGGCATCAGGATAGGAGGAAGACATGCAGATGATACAACCTTGCTTGGTGGAAGCCAAGAAAACTTAAAATACTTATGATGAAGATCAAAGATTACAGCCTTCACTATGGATTACACCTCAGTGTAAAGAAAATGAAAATCCTCACAACTGGACCAACAAATAACATCATGATAACTAGAGAAAAGATGTTGTCAAAGACATCATTTTACTTGAATCCACAATCAACACTCATGGAAGCAGCAGGCGCTGTGGCATAATCGGTGCGAATCGCAAGGCTGGTGGTTCAAACTCACCAACCTCTCCTTGGAAATCCTATACTGGGTTGCTATGAGCAGGAATTGACTC